AGGGTAAGGAAACAGTGAGGTAAAGGAAAAGAAATAACCTGAAGGAGAAGAATAGTAGGCAACAGAAAAAAAAAAATATCCACTCCTTGCTGGGTGTGGTGGCACACACCTTTAATCCCAGCACTCGGGAGTTCAAGGCCAGCCTGGTCTACATAAGTGAGTTCCAGGACAGCTGGGGCTTCTGTTCTGGACTGCACAAGAGAATCTGAGGCTCCTTTCTAACTTAAGGGGAATATAGCTGGGAATGCTGGGACCCTTAGTTTGAGAAGATCATCCTATGATTAATATTGCAACTTCACCAAAGAGCTTCTGTTTAAAACTGCATCTCAAGAGGAAGGAGAGGGGCATGTGGGAAAGGATATTTTGCTACAGGTCAAAATTCTATAAAATGCATACATGGTAACAGCTCATCATGAACCGAGCAAGGCTTAGTAGATCTGGAGCAGGTAGATTTTACAGATATCCACTTCCATTAGGCTAGCAGAGATAAGCTGAGACAGAAGGTATCTGAGAGAATAGCCCTTTAGGATGGGTATTCGGGATGTATAAAGAACTCTGCATTATTTCAAAAAGACCAAAAAATAAAAATGAAAAGTAAAGAACTCTGCATTAAATAATTATATGCCTTCTGGGTGTGGTGGCACATGCCTTTAATCGCAGCACTTGGGAGGCAGAGGCAGGCAGATCTCTGTGAGTTCAAGGCCAGCCTGGTCTACATAGTGAGTTCCAGGACAGCTGGGGCTACAAGGAGTCCCTGTCTCAAAAAGACCAAAATAATAATAATGATAATAATAATAATAATAATAATTACATGCCCATCTGATCTTATACTGGATAAACTAACCATCTCCCAAAAGGGTTTCCCCAGTTCTGAGTGCCTTTCAAGCACAATTTAAAGCATGCTGAAAGTTTTCCCTTCTTGTCAGCCAGTGAGGTTTGTCTGGTTGTACAAATCAGAACAGGAATTGAATTGCTGTAGCAGATACCAAACTTAATGCAAAAGAAATCACTGTAAGGCAACCTTTAAATTAATCTATGTTTATTGCTATGCTTGGACCTTAACTATGGCATAAGAGATTTGTTAATCTGGAAGGCTGGAGAACCAGTGACCCTAGGAGTATCTGCAGACCACTGGACATACTTTTAACTCTTGCAAAAGTTCTCTTATATCCTATTGTTTGCTCAGAAAACACCAGCTTTAAATGGTCAAGGGGCTACACATCTTATCTCATCTTTTGGGAGAACTTCATGATGGACATATGGCAGCTGGAACAGCTCAGAAGAGGGACAAGACAGGTGACCCTCAGCAACCAGGAAACTTGGTGGCTCACCCTTCAAGAATACCATTTCCGGATGGCCAGGACTCCCCTTTGGGGAAGTGTCCTTTGTGACTGGCTGTGGCTCTGGACCCTCTTCTGAGCCAGTCACTCCCTAGAACTTCCCTGATGCCATTGGACACCCCAGCCAGACACTCTTTCACAAGAGCAGAGGACAGACCCACAGCCTTGCTTAAGGTGGCTGCCAGAGCTGAATCTCTTCCAATAGATTCCCTCAGGTAGGGAAGCTCTTTATGGCTGCTATGAAACTCAAGGTCAGCCTTGCTTAGATCATGTTTAATTACCAAGGTTGCTAGTATATCCTGTGATTTTCCATCTGTAGCTTTTGCAAGCTGATCGGTCCAGAAAGGTACATCTGCTGGGCCAAGGCTCCCCTTCTGGGTTCTTTTGTTAAGGCCACATGATTGTGCAGGTCACCTGCTCGTGACCTCTTCACATTCACCAGGCAGGTGCCTAGGGTCCCTCTTCCATCCCTCATGCTTTGTGCCTTCTGATCTAGGTGCCGGGGGTGCCACCTGTCAGTTAGAGGATGGCCTTCAATGACTCGATATGAACCTGCAGGCGCACATTGAGCATCATGGAAGCCACAGTGTAGAGGAAGAGGAAGTTGTTGCGTGGCCGCCAAGCCAGGTCAAAAAAGACGAGCAGTGTGCAGGTCAGCTTCTTGATGAAAACCCCATAAGAGCCGGCAATGGCCGAGCGCGACAGCCAGACAGCCAGGCCCTACAGAGCCGCTGCCATATAGAGATCGGCAGCACTGCCACTACAATCCCCCTGGGCACCGAGTCCCCCAAGATCTCTCAACTCTGGGCAGCTGGCCTGCACCCCGCACTCTCAGGGAGCAAGCAAGACAGATGGGTGGGCCAAGGAGCCTAGTCCAGGCAGGCATCTCTTGGGAAGAACGTCCTGAGCTGCCACTTGGTTCTAGGGCTGGGTCGCTAGGCCTGACGTCACAAAGCCTGTTTTACTTACTTATTTTTATTTATGTATTTATGTATTTATTTTTTATTTATCTTTTGAGATAGGGTCTCCCTGTATGTTTTACTTTAAATTTTTTTTTACATTTATTTATTTTGTGTGTATAAGCATGTGCCATGACACATGTGGAGGTTAGAGGACAGTTTGTGAGAGTTGGTTCTCACCTTTCACTGTGTGGGTTCCAGGAACTGAACTCAGGTTGTCAGGTTTGGTGGCAAGCACCTTTACTCACTGAGTCATTTCAAGGGCCCCTGTCTTTATTTTGATGCTTATTTGAGATACCCATGCTGGTCTTAATCAGACTCAGCCCAATTGATATACTTGCCTCTCAGCCTCCTGAGTATTCAGGCCTGGCTGGGTTTTGTTGTTTTTGTTTCACTGATTTCTACTTTTTTAAAAGATTTTTTATTATTTTAAGTTGTGTGTGTGTGTGTGTGTGTGTGTGTGTGTGTGTGTGTGTGCTTGTGAGTGCAGGCACCCACAGCGGCCAGAGAGATTAGGTCCTCCTGGAGCTGGAATTAGAAGTAGTTGTGAGCCACCCAATGTGGGTGCTGGGATCTGAACTTGGATCCTCTGCAAGAGCAGTATACACTCTGAACTCCTGTGCCATCTCTCCAGTTCACTGATTTGATCTATTTTCATCTTTCTTATGTCTGTGTTTGCTCTACCACTAAACCACATCCTTGGCCCTATTATTTCTGTTCTAATACTTTCAGGTTTTGTTGTTGTTATTAGTTGTTGTTGTTGTTGTTGAGACAGAGTCTCCCTGTAGCCCCATCTGACCTGGAACTCACTATGTAGACCAGGCTGGCCTTGAACTCACAGAGATCCACCTGTCTCTGTGCTGGGACTAAAGGCATGTGCCAACAAGCCCTGCCTGAATTTTATTTGTTTTTTTTTTTAAAGTAGAAGATGAAATCATTCTTTTGAGACCTACAGATGGGTTATCTTTGGGATGCGGAAATGTAAAAATCAGCATTGACTTTGAAAGAATTATGAAGCTAGGTGCAATGACTCATAATCCCAGCAGTAAGGAGGTTGAGGCAGGAATATCACTGCTTGTTCAAGGCCATCCTGAGCTACACAGTGAGTTTCAGGACAGCTTGGACTACAAAGTAAGACTTTGTCTTAAAAAAAAAGTATTAAGCTCTCTCCGACCCAGAGGCCACCAGCTGCCCTAGACCAGCATCTTTCCTGGGCCCTGCTCCCAGGCCAGTCAAACCCCCAAATTCCTGAGGCCAAAATCTTTCCTGGAGGGATCCAGACCTTAGGAGAAAGCCTGAGAGCATCTGATCCTCATCTGAATTGGGCCTCTGTGGGAACTCCTGAAGACAAAAGCAATCCGGCCACTC